TTTTGAAGCCAAATTTTTTTTTTGAAACCAAATGCAAAAACGGACACCAGGATGAGTTTCGGGATGAAATTCCATGTCTAAAAATGGTGTTGCTTCCACTTTTTAAAAATCGAGCCTTTTTGGTGCCTGGGGAAGAAAACGCGTGACTTAATGGTCAGGAAAAATGCTTCCCAGGAACCAAATGTTTTTTGAAGCCAATTTTTTTTTTTGAAACCAAATGCAAAAACGGACACCAGGATGAGTTTCGGGATGAAATTCCATGTCTAAAAATGGTGTTGCTTCCACTTTTTAAAAATCGAGCCTTTTTGGTGCCTGGGGAAGAAAACGCGTGACTTAATGGTCAGGAAAAATGCTTCCCAGGAACCAAATGGTTTTTTGAAGCCAAATTTTTTTTTTGAAACCAAATGCCAAAACGGACACCAGGATGAGTTTCGGGATGAAATTCCATGTCTAAAAATGGTGTTGCTTCCACTTTTTAAAAATCGAGCCTTTTTGGTGCCTGGGGAAGAAAACGCGTGACTTAATGGTCAGGAAAAATGCTTCCCAGGAACCAAATGTTTTTTGAAGCCAAATTTTTTTTTTGAAACCAAATGCCAAAACGGACACCAGGATGAGTTTCGGGATGAAATTCCATGTCTAAAAATGGTGTTGCTTCCACTTTTTAAAAATCGAGCCTTTTTGGTGCCTGGGGAAGAAAACGCGTGACTTAATGGTCAGGAAAAATGCTTCCCAGGAACCAAATGGTTTTTTGAAGCCAAATTTTTTTTTTGAAACCAAATGCCAAAACGGACACCAGGATGAGTTTCGGGATGAAATTCCATGTCTAAAAATGGTGTTGCTTCCACTTTTTAAAAATCGAGCCTTTTTGGTGCCTGGGGAAGAAAACGCGTGACTTAATGGTCAGGAAAAATGCTTCCCAGGAACCAAATGTTTTTTGAAGCCAAATTTTTTTTTTGAAACCAAATGCCAAAACGGACACCAGGATGAGTTTCGGGATGAAATTCCATGTCTAAAAATGGTGTTGCTTCCACTTTTTAAAAATCGAGCCTTTTTGGTGCCTGGGGAAGAAAACGCGTGACTTAATGGTCAGGAAAAATGCTTCCCAGGAACCAAATGGTTTTTTGAAGCCAAATTTTTTTTTTGAAACCAAATGCCAAAACGGACACCAGGATGAGTTTCGGGATGAAATTCCATGTCTAAAAATGGTGTTGCTTCCACTTTTTAAAAATCGAGCCTTTTTGGTGCCTGGGGAAGAAAACGCGTGACTTAATGGTCAGGAAAAATGCTTCCCAGGAACCAAATGGTTTTTTGAAGCCAAATTTTTTTTTTGAAACCAAATGCCAAAACGGACACCAGGATGAGTTTCGGGATGAAATTCCATGTCTAAAAATGGTGTTGCTTCCACTTTTTAAAAATCGAGCCTTTTTGGTGCCTGGGGAAGAAAACGCGTGACTTAATGGTCAGGAAAAATGCTTCCCAGGAACCAAATGGTTTTTTGAAGCCAAATTTTTTTTTTGAAACCAAATGCCAAAACGGACACCAGGATGAGTTTCGGGATGAAATTCCATGTCTAAAAATGGTGTTGCTTCCACTTTTTAAAAATCGAGCCTTTTTGGTGCCTGGGGAAGAAAACGCGTGACTTAATGGTCAGGAAAAATGCTTCCCAGGAACCAAATGGTTTTTTGAAGCCAAATTTTTTTTTTGAAACCAAATGCCAAAACGGACACCAGGATGAGTTTCGGGATGAAATTCCATGTCTAAAAATGGTGTTGCTTCCACTTTTTAAAAATCGAGCCTTTTTGGTGCCTGGGGAAGAAAACGCGTGACTTAATGGTCAGGAAAAATGCTTCCCAGGAACCAAATGGTTTTTTGAAGCCAAATTTTTTTTTTGAAACCAAATGCCAAAACGGACACCAGGATGAGTTTCGGGATGAAATTCCATGTCTAAAAATGGTGTTGCTTCCACTTTTTAAAAATCGAGCCTTTTTGGTGCCTGGGGAAGAAAACGCGTGACTTAATGGTCAGGAAAAATGCTTCCCAGGAACCAAATGGTTTTTTGAAGCCAAATTTTTTTTTTGAAACCAAATGCCAAAACGGACACCAGGATGAGTTTCGGGATGAAATTCCATGTCTAAAAATGGTGTTGCTTCCACTTTTTAAAAATCGAGCCTTTTTGGTGCCTGGGGAAGAAAACGCGTGACTTAATGGTCAGGAAAAATGCTTCCCAGGAACCAAATGGTTTTTTGAAGCCAAATTTTTTTTTTGAAACCAAATGCCAAAACGGACACCAGGATGAGTTTCGGGATGAAATTCCATGTCTAAAAATGGTGTTGCTTCCACTTTTTAAAAATCGAGCCTTTTTGGTGCCTGGGGAAGAAAACGCGTGACTTAATGGTCAGGAAAAATGCTTCCCAGGAACCAAATGTTTTTTGAAGCCAAATTTTTTTTTTGAAACCAAATGCCAAAACGGACACCAGGATGAGTTTCGGGATGAAATTCCATGTCTAAAAATGGTGTTGCTTCCACTTTTTAAAAATCGAGCCTTTTTGGTGCCTGGGGAAGAAAACGCGTGACTTAATGGTCAGGAAAAATGCTTCCCAGGAACCAAAATGTTTTTTGAAGCCAAATTTTTTTTTTGAAACCAAATGCAAAAACGGACACCAGGATGAGTTTCGGGATGAAATTCCATGTCTAAAAATGGTGTTGCTTCCACTTTTTAAAAATCGAGCCTTTTTGGTGCCTGGGGAAGAAAACGCGTGACTTAATGGTCAGGAAAAATGCTTCCCAGGAACCAAAATGTTTTTTGAAGCCAAATTTTTTTTTTGAAACCAAATGCAAAAACGGACACCAGGATGAGTTTCGGGATGAAATTCCATGTCTAAAAATGGTGTTGCTTCCACTTTTTAAAAATCGAGCCTTTTTGGTGCCTGGGGAAGAAAACGCGTGACTTAATGGTCAGGAAAAATGCTTCCCAGGAACCAAAATGGTTTTTGAAGCCAATTGCCAAATGCCAAAACGGACACCAGGATGAGTTTCGGGATGAAATTCCATGTCTAAAAATGGTGTTGCTTCCACTTTTTAAAATCTCTCCTTTCTCTCTCTGTCTCTGGAAGAAAACTCTCTCTCTAATGGTCTGGAAAAATCTCTCCCACTCTCTCAAATCTCTTCTCTGAAGCCTCTTTTTTTTTCTGAACCAAATGCCCTCTCCGGACACCAGGATGAGTTTCGGGATGAAATTCCTTCTCAAAGGTGTTGCTTCCACTTTTTAATCGAGCCTTTTTGGTGCCTGGGGAAGGTGACGGAGTGACTTAAGGGTCAGGAGCCAATGCTTCCCAGGGAGCCAAAGGTTTTGAAGCCAATGCGGCTCCAGAAACCAGGTGCCGACACCGAACCAGGTTGAGGAATGGGTGAAATTCCGTGCCAAACCTGACCCCCCTACAAAAACCACCGAGGGTCTCTGAGCTTGCACAGAGCGTTTTTTTTTTCTTAGAAGAAGTTAGTAAGGGAGCTGCCTCCCTTCCCTAGAAGTTGGAATGTTATTTTAAAAAAAAAAAAGCGACTGTCAAAGGAAGAGCGCCAGATAATGCAAGGATGTTTGGTTGTGCGAACGCCCAGGGTTGAGGTGTGGGTAAAAGGCAGAGATTGGGGGGGGCTCGGGGTATGGGTCTGAGCCAGAGCAGACTCTTCCTAAGGGTCTCTGAGCTTGCACAGAGTGTTTTCTTAGACTCAGCTAGGGAGCTGCCTCCCTTCCCTAGAAGTTGGAATGGTATTTTAAAAAAAAGGGCTGTCAAAGGAAAGGGTTGCCAGGACAATTGAGGAGCATCCGGGAGCCCCATAAAAGCAAGCCAAGGTGGCCTCTGAGCGCGTGCAGAGTGCGCATTGCGCAATCCCGACCCCCACCAGCCCTCGCCCGTCTGGTCCCGGTCCCGCCACCTCCCTCCCGGCCGGAGCGATGCAGCGCTGACCCGAAGGAAGCGGGGCGTGTTCGGCTCTTGATCCGGATGAGATCAAGGCGCCGGCAGCGGCAGGCGGAGGCCGAGGACCTGCCCAGCTTCGCGCTCGCCGCCTCGGGCTCCGGAGGCCGGCAACCCCCGCGGGGGACTGGCCGGGCGCAAGCAGCCGGGATGCTCTCGGGGCGCCCGGCGCAAAGGCGCTGCTAGGTTTGCCTTCCTCCTCTTCCTCTTCCTCTCCTCCTTCTCCTCCTCTTCCTCCTCCCCTCCTTCTCCTCCTCTTCCTCATCCCCTCCTCCTCTTCCTTCTCATCCCCTCCTCTTCTTTCTCATCCCCTCCTCCTCTTCCTCCTCTTCTCCTTCTCTTCCTCTCCTCCTTCTTCTCCTCTTCCTCTTCCTCATCCCCCCTCCTCTTCCTTTCCTCCTTCTCCTCCTCTTCCTCCTCCTTTTCCTCTTCCTCCTCATCCCCTCCTCTTCTTTCTCCTCTTCTCCTTCTCTCCTTCTCCTCTTCCTCTTCCTCCTCACCCCCTCCTCCTCTTCCTTTCCTCCTTCTCCTCCTCTTCCTCCTTATCCCCTCTTCTTTCTTCTCTTCCTCCTCTTCCTCCTTCCCTCCTTCTCCTCCACCTCCCCTCCTCCTCCTCTTCCTCATCCCCTCCTCCTCCTCCTCTTCTACCTCCTCCTTTTCTTCCTCCCCCTCCCCCTCCTCTCCCTTCTCCTCCTCCTCCCCTCCTTTTCCTCCCCCTCCTCTCTCTCCTCCTTCTCTCCTCCTCCTGCCGGGCGGGCAGCTCCACCTCTTCCTTCGCCTGGAGCCCCGGGATCCCCGGCCAGAGGCTGGGCAGCTCAGCGCCACCACCACCGCCACCCCCAGCTCGGCTGCCTCCAGGACCCCGGCCGGCTCCCCAGCCCAGCGCCGCCGCCAGGATCCCGGGCAGAGGAGGAGGAGGAGGAGGAGAGCGCCGCACGTGGGCCAGGCGGGAGGGAGACGCGATGCCGGACCGGCCGGGCTGATCCGCCCGACTTGCGGCGGCGGCGGGCAAGGCGGGCATGAAGCGCGGGGAGGAGGATCCGGCCAGCCTGTCCGGAGCGATGGCCGTGCAGGTGAGTCGGGGGGCGGCCGGTTCCCCCTGCGGCTTTTTCAGCTGCGCAGCTGATTTTTTTTTTATTTTTTTTTTAATTTGATTTATATGCCGCCCTTCTCCGGAGACTCAGGGCGGCTTACAATGCATTAAGCAATAGCCTTCATCCTTTTGTATATTATATACAAAGTCAGCTTCTCTTTTTTTCTTTCTTTTTTTCTTTCTCTTTCTTTCTTTTTCCTTCCTTCCTTCCTTCCTTCCTTCCTTCTTTCTCTTTCTTTTCTTTTAAAATTTGATTTATATGCCGCCCTTCTCCGGAGACTCAGGGCGGCTTACAATGCGTTAAGCAATAGCCTTCATCCTTTTGTATATTTTATACAAAGTCAGCTTATTGCCCCCACAAACTGGGTCCTCAATTGACCTACCTTAGAAAGGCTGGAAGGCTGAGTCAACCTTGAGCCTTGGCGAGATTCGAACCTGCAGTAAATTGCAGGCAGCTGAATGTTAATAACAGGGTGCTTAGACCACTGTACTATCAAGGCTCTTTCCCCGGGAAACTGCGGCGGCGGCGGCGGCGGGGATGACTTGCAGGTGGGAACGGCGCCCATCGCGGGTCCTCGCCTCTCCCGCTGCCCGCATCCGCCTGGAGGGCATCGCGGGGTCTTTTGTAAGGCGTGTATGTGGGGAAGGGGGGGTTTCTCTCTCTGGAGAGGCGCCGGTGGGCAGGCAGGCAGGTAAGGGCGCAGGGTTGGAGCTGGGGGGGGCAGGGAAGGCCGGGAACCATGGGCATTGGAGTCCCTGGAGGAGAGGGCCCTGGAGCCCTTGTGGCAGGAATGCCCGGCGGGAAGCATGGGCTCTGGAGTCCCTGGAGGAGAGAGCCCTGGAGCTCTTGTGGCAGGGAAGCCCGGGAATCATGGGCATTGGAGTCCCTGGAGGAGAGAGCCCTGGAGCTCGTGTGGCAGGGAAGCCCGGGAATCATGGGCATTGGAGTCCCTGGAGGAGAGAGCCCTGGAGCTCGTGTGGCAGGGAAGACCGGCGGGAACCATGGGCATTGGAGTCCCTGGAGGAGAGAGCCCTGGAGCTCGTGTGGCAGGGAAGACCGGCGGGAATCATGGGCATTGGAGTCCCTGGAGGAGAGAGCCCTGGAGCTCGTGTGGCAGGGAAGCCCGGGAATCATGGGCATTGGAGTCCCTGGAGGAGAGGGCCCTGGAGCTCGTGTGGCAGGGAAGCCCGGGAACCATGGGGATTGAAGCGAGACCCTTGGAGGTTTTCTGGCAGGGAAGCCTGGGGACCATGGGCATTGGAGTCCCTGGAGGAGAGACCCTTGGAGCCCTTGTGGCAGGAAGGCCCGGGAACCATGGGCATCGGAGTCCTTGGAAGCGAGACCCCTGGAGGTTTTCTGGCAGGGAAGCCTGGGGACCATGGGCATTGGAGTCCCTGGAGGAGAGAGAGCCGTGGAAGTCTTTTGGCAGGAAAGCCGGGGAACCATGGGCAGCTGGGACTCCAATGCCCATGGTCCTCAGGCTGTCCTGCCAGAAGGGTCTCCCGCAGCGGGCTCCCCTGTCCGTTTGTCTGTCCGTCCGTCTCTGCCTACCCCCCACCCACACTCCCCCCCCCCGCCTTCCCGAGATGTATCCGACCCCTTTTTGCCTAGCCCTAGAGAATGGGCTCTGGAGTTGCTGGAGGGAATTCCCCTTCCCGGATTGGAAATGCCCTCTCCCACCCACCAGTCATTCTACCGATGGCTTCTGTCCTTCTCCCACCCACCCACCCACCCACCCCACCGCCGAGTCATTCAAAAGTTGTATCCCTGGGACGGCGGATCGACTGCGGTGGAGGGGCTGAGATCATCAGGATCGCGCGCAGTTGAGCAGAAAGACGTGGGAGACCGTTGGTGCTTAGTTGGTGTTTAGTCGGAAATAAATAGTAACAGTAACCGAGTTGGAAGGGGCCTTGGAGGTCATCTAGCTCAACCCCCTGCTCATGCAGGAAGATCTATACTAGGGATTCGAACCTCCGACCTTCCTGATCGCAAAGCTCAGTGCCTTAGCCACTGAGCCACCTAGTCGGTGGCTGTGAACTATGAACTATAACTTTTTTTAAAAAAAATTGATTTATATGCCGCCCTTCTCCGGAGACTCAGGGCGGTTTACAGTTCACTTCCCATGGAGTGAACCAAGTCTTTTAGTTCTGGAGCTGTTATAATGGGAAACCAAGATGGAATGATGGCTTCTATTAACTGGGTTTTATTGCTGGGTCGCTTCTGACTAACAAGTTTCTTTAGATTCTCCATAGATTTTCAATTGTGTGAAGATCTGGGCTATTCCCAGGCCATTCCAGCCATGGAATAGGATGATCTTGAAACTCCAAAAAAAAAAAAAAAAGACAGCTCACCCAGCTGTCTTTCATGCCTAACTCGGAACTAGAACTCCCAGTCTCCTGGTGATTGGCTCCAAGTCACCGTACTGTATAGGGTCTCCTGTTTGAGCAGGGGGTCGGACTAGAAGACCTCTGAGGTCCCTTCCAACTTTTGTTATATGTCACAAGCCTATGGGGAAAGTTGCAAATAGTGATCAACTGACCCCTGGGATAAATGGGGAAGCTTTGGGGGTAGAAAAAAGGGATAGAAAAATATATAGAACAACAACTGTCCCCCCCTTGAGATTTTCATCCGTCAATCAGCTCGAAGAGAGCGCCAAGAACAAATTGGAAAGTTCTTCTCAAGCCCTCGGGACACGTCGTCGAAAAACAGAAGCTTCTTGGGCGGAGTTGTCTTTCGACAGAAGTCCTGGGCACGACATCTGCTTATTTGTACAGGTGTTAGGCTGGCATCCTACCCGACGGCTGGCGGCACCCGTTCCGAGTAACACGTTTCATAGAAAAGGGCGCGTGAGTTTGTGAGCATAACATGTGCTGCTCGGAAAATAGTGCTCACCTGACTCCTCCTGATTTCATTCATGCAGGGAGCTGGCCTCTATAATAAAATAAATGAGACGTACCATCCCGGAAGATAAATAATAGAATAACAAGATTCAAATGCAAGTAAATCAGGGGTGAAATCCAGCAGGTTCTAACAGGTTCTGGAGAACCGGTAGTGGAAATTTTGAGTAGTTTGGAGAACCAGCAAATACCACCTCTGGCTGGCCCCAGAGTAGGGTTGGAATGGATATTTTGCAATATCCTTCCCCCAGGAGTGGGGGGGGGAATGGGTATTTTTTTTTTTTTTAATTTGATTTATATGCCGCCCTTCTCCGGAGACTCAGGGCGGCTTACAATGCGTTAAGCAAAAGCCTTCATACTTTTTGTATATTTATACAAAGTCAGCTTCATCCAAAACAGGCCGCGTGGGGACTCCTGGGAGGGGAGGGGAGGGGCAAGGTGGGCGGGGCCAGCCAGGAGTGGGATTTGGGGGTTCTCCGAACTGCACAGAATCTTAGCTAGAGGTGTGAATCCCCGCTGGTGGTGAGTCCTTGCTGGCTTGACAATATCTGATATCTCCCTTCCTTTTTGCCTCACAGTGACAACTCCAAGACCCTGAACAATGGCTGACACTAGTAACATCCAGTCAGCGGCTTCTAAGAGCATCCGTCCGTTCCGTTCCAGCGAGGACTATCTCTACGCCATGAAGGAGGACCTGGCGGAGTGGCTGAACACCCTCTACGATCTGGATGTCCAGGTGGAGAACTTCATGGACGCCCTGGAGACGGGCTATGACCTCTGCCAGCACGCCAACAACGTCAACCGGATCGCGCTGGAGTTCCAACAGTCGAACCCGGAAGCCGCTTCCCACATGAGAATCCCTCAGAAGGAGGTCATCTTCCAAGCGAAGAACGTGGTCCCCGGCTCTTTCATCGCTCGGGACAACATCTCCAACTTCATCCAGTGGTGCCGTCAGGAGCTGGGCATCCAGGACGTGGTGATGTTTGAAACGAACGACTTGGTGTTGAAGAAGAACGAGAAGAACTTCGTCCTTTGCCTGCTGGAGGTGGCCAGGAAGGGCTCCAAGTTTGGGATGTTGGCTCCCATGCTCATCCAGATGGAGGAAGAGATCGAGGAGGAGATGAGGGACCAGGTGGCCCGCGGGGAGCTGAGGAAAGAGCAGGTGGTCCAAAATTTGGGGCCCAAGTCTCCCGTGTACCTGAACAAAACCACGCCAAGGATAGCCTTGTGCGACCTCAAGAACCTGGATGAGCTGGTGAGTTCTTGCACGTTATTGGGCCTTTGATTTTATTTACTGAACTTCGTTGCATCTTCCTCTTTCCTTCAACTTCTCCAGATAGCATTTCAAGCTTCCTCTATCATTCAATACGAAGTCACTGAAATTAGAATAGAAGTAACAGAGTCGGAAGGGACCTTGGAGGTCTTCTAGTCCAACCCCCTGCTTAGGCAGGAACCCCCATACCATTTCAGAGTACCATTGAAGAGTTAAAACAAGATAAAAGATTTTCCTGTTCGTCGTGTCCGACTCGAGGGCACGGTGCTCAGCTCCGTTTCTTGGCCGAGGGAGCCAGCATTGTCCGAAGACAATTTCCGTGGTCATGTGGCCAGCATGAAGGAGCCTTGGTGGCGCAGCGGACTAAAGTGCTGTTAAAGTAGCACTTAGCTGCCAGCTGCCTGCAATTACTGTGAGTTCAAATCTCACCAGGCTCAAGATTGAGCTCAGCCTTCCATCCTTCCAAGGTGGGTAAAATGAAGACCCAGATTGTTAGGGGGCAATATGCTATTTAGCATACTGTCTTTGGTGTAAGCCGCCCAGAGTCCTCGGAGAGTGGATGGCATAGAAATATGACTAATTATATACATATACATATACATATACATATACATATACATATACATATACATATACATATACATATACATATACATGTAGGTCTTTGGTTATTCGGATTTTCTCCCATGTAAAATTGGAAGTGTCTTGGCGACGTTTCGACGAAGTCTCATTCGTCATCTTCAGGCTGGTGCTTTCGGCTTCGTGCTTCTAGGAGCAATGTGTGATCTCCTAGAAGCACGAAGCCGAAAACACCAGCCTGAAGATGACGAATGAGACTTCGTCGAAACGTCGCCAAGACACTTCCAATTTTACGCGGGAGAAAACCCGAATAACCAAAGACCTACATACAAACACCCGCAAAAATCTCAGAAAACAAATATATATATTTCAAGCTTTGAACGAAGGTTGTGAATATGCCTCTGGCTAGCTTGATAGGAACCAAAAGGAGCAGGAATCGTGTCTGGATGGGAAGGAAAGCGAGAATCAACTCTGGATGACCTGCATGCCACTCAGGGAAGACCAGAAGTTGTTGGCTACGAAGACTATCTCCTCTAGCTTACTATTAACCTGGTTTGCTGATGGGAAATAGGAAGGTGAGATAGGAAAATACCAGTCTTAGCTTTTAAGTCATGTAGAACTTTAATTGTTCCGAGGAGTGCTTTTCAAGTTGTGGTTTGGAGCCTCCTTAAATATTTAATTCAGTCAACATTTGATGTGTCTTTTTCCTGTTTGTTTTTGGCTGTCTTTGTCTTGCGTCATCTGTGTACGCCCCTTTATTAGATCTGCGGACTCCTTAATCTCTTTCTCCAACCCTGCCTTCGAATAACCCCATTTATGTCAATAAGCCTCTCTCCACAAATGGATTGTATTGGTGGGAATCGTTCTTTTATTCTGGGTCTTTTAAAGTAGGTTACTATGATTGACAGCTAACTATGGGCCACAGTTAGCCTCCTGCCTGCTTATGGGCTCTGTTAAAATGTGACATTAAAAAGGGGGGGGGGGGGGGAGAGAATCGGGAGGTGGGAATTAGGCAAACCCAGACAGACATTCTTGTTATAAAGTTTTACGGGAGAACCAGCCAAACAGCACCAGTAGGCTGTCAAAGGACTCATTATTTAGCAACATGAATAAATGAACGCCAGCCAAATTCAGCCTGTTGTAAAGCCAGACTTTTCCTGATCCATGTTTGGCCTCCGCGTCTTTCTTGTCACACCTGTTATTGGCATAGTTTGACTTTATCTAATGAAGGAAGGCAGGTTAACAGATTAACTGAGTTGGAAGGGGCCTTGGAGGTCATCTAGTCCAGCCCCACACCCAAGCAGGAGACCGTACACCATTTCTTTCAATCTTTTCTTGAAAGTCTCCAGGGATGAAGCTCCCGCAACTTCCGAAGGCAACTTCTGTTCCTTTGATCGATTGTTCTCACTGTCAGAAAATTTCTCCTTATTTCCAGGTTGAATCTCTCCTTTTTTTTTTTTTTTTTTTAAATTTGATTTATATGCCGCCCTTCTCCGGAGACTCAGGGCGGCTTACAATGTGCTCAGCAATAGCCTTCATCCTTTTGTATATTTATACAAAGTCAGCTTATTGCCCCCACAAACTGGGTCCTCAATTGACCTACCTTAGAAAGGATGGAAGGCTGAGTCGACCTTGAGCCTTGGCGAGATTCGAACCTGCAGTAATTGCAGGCAGCTGGTCTTAATAACCAGCTTAATAACAGGGTGCCTTAGACCCCTGTACTACCAAGGCTCTTTGATAGTTGATTGGAAACTCCTTGATCAGTTTCCATCCATTCTTCCTTGTCTGGCCTTCGGGTGCTTTTATAAGTCATAAGTTTATTTTGTCAAGCATATATAAGATAACAGGTAAAAGTATAAACATAATTCGAATACATGAAAAGAGTAAGTAAAAAAGGAATATTAGGACAGGGACCGTAGGCACGCTGGTGCATTTATGCATGCCCCTTACAGACCTCTTAGGAATGGGGTGAAGTCCACAGTAGGAGGAGTCTTGGTGGTGCAGTGGACTAAACTACTGTTAAAGTAGTATTTAGCTGCCAGCTGCCTGCAATTACTGCGAGTTCAATTCTCACCAGGCTCAAGGTTGACTCAGCCTTCCAATCCTTTCGAGGTAGGTAAAATGAAGAGCCTTGGTAGTACAGTGGTCTAAGGCACCCTGTTATTAAGCTGGTTATTAAGACCAGCTGCCTGCAATTACTGCAGGTTCGAATCTCGCCAAGGCTCAAGGTTGACTCAGCCTTCCATCCTTTCTAAGGTAGGTAAATTGAGGACCCAGTTTGTGGGGGCAATAAACTGACTTTGTATAAAATATACAAAAGGATGAAGGCTATTGCTTAGCGCATTGTAAGCCGCTCTGATTCTCCGGAGAAGGGCGGCATATAAATCAAATTAAAAAATAAATAAATGAGGACCTGGATTGTGGGGGCAATAAGCTGACTTTGTATAAAAAAGAACACCACTTGGGGAGGGGGAACCCAAAAGCCCTACTAAGCAGGTATATACAAAAGTATGAAGGCTATTGCTTAAAAGCATTGTAAGCCGCCCTGAGTCTCCGGAGAAGGGCGGCATATATAAATCGAACTAATAGAAAATAAATAACTAAAATAAACAGTAGACAGTTTAAGGTTAAGGTTTTGGGGGTTTGGGGGGAAGAAACTACAGAGTCAGGTAGTGCATTCTAGGCATTGACCACTCTGTTGCTGAAGTCGTATTTTCTGCGATCGAGTTTGGAGCGGTTTACCTTGAGTTTGTATCTGTTATTTGCTCGTGTATTGTTGTGGCAATGCACAATACATCCTCTCTGTGGCAGCCGCTCCAATTTTGGGACACTTCTATCCTGTCTCCCCTGGTCCTTCTCTTCGCTAGACCAGCCATGCCCAGTTCCTGCAACCGTTCTTCGTATGTTTTAGCCTCCAGTTCCCTCATCATCTTGGTTGCTCTTCTCTGCACTCTTTCCAGAGTCTCCACATCTTTTTTTTAAATCGTGACGACCAAAACTGGATGAAGTATTCCAGGTGTGGTCTTAAGGAATTAGGGAGTCGGGAAAATTAGTCTCTTCTGCAGCACAGAAAATACTTATTGTTCCTTCTGAATACTGCCTTGTGTCTTTGACTGAAAAGCCCATATTTATTTAGGTTATATTATATTTGTGTAAGGTTCCCTTGTTTTGTTTTGTTTTGCTTTTCATGGAAGTTGCTACTTTAAACCACAAGTTGTTTTGGCCCCTGGAGCAAATGTTGGGCTGCTCTTTCCATCACCAACATGTCACTTTTCCATCTTCTTCTCCACCCATGTCAACAAGTAGACATCCAGCCCATAATTTTGAGACCGAAATAGCAGAGAATTACAGAGCCATTCGGCAGTTATTTTTCATGTGGGCAAATGTCCTCGCGTAGCTGAAGGGCGAAAATATATATATATATAGGAGGAGGACGGAAAATGAGAAACAAACCAGGACAAACTGAAAGAAAAAAAAAATGTGGGGTGTGTAGGAAACTTACACCGTGGTTGTAAGTCCCTGTCCTTTTTCTTCCACACTGGTCTGTTACACAGTTTTAGGGGTTTCCTATGAGCCTATCCGAATTTAGCTTGCCTAGCGAATCACAAAATTGTGTGAATGTAACCACTCTTGTAAAAATGGGTTTACAGATTAACGGAGTTGGAATTGGGCCTTGTAGGTCATCTGGCTAATTGTGGGTTTGCAGAAGGTTGCGTGTGAGTCAGCTGATGTCTCTCCCTTTCCTTCTCCGTCCTGGATCAATTGCTGTCTTTATGTTGAGGTGTGGTGCTCCCAGAGCTTTTATGGTTTGGCCAGCGGCAAACTCAGCCCCGAGGTATGACACACCCACGGTGCAAAGCTGACGAACCTTCAAAGACGGAAACGGTGGTATTTTAAGCATATTCATAGGTAGCTCGGATTGCAAAAAAATCTATTGGGCAATCTTTAGCCTGGGCTGAAGACAAATAAATAACGCATCGGGTTTTTTTTTTTTTTTAAATATTTTAACGTCATCTTGAATGGTGAGTGGAGCCTGCAAAAGCTGACACCTTTTTGGGTGGGTAGGATTTGCTTGCCTGTCAACCTCTCAAGTCAAAGGAGGATCCACCTGCAATGGAAATGAGGATGATGAAGAATGAGGAAAAGCTTGCTCTGCCGAATTTTAGTTGCAGATATTCCATAAACGGACCCAAGTCCTTCAAGCACCCGTCTGGAGCTTCTGATTCTGCTAATCGAGGCGAACCTCCATTTCGCTGCAGCTAGTCCTCGACTTATGGCCCCCAATTTTCCGTTGTTAAGTCGATCGCCGCAGTGATTTAAGTTAGCGAGCAGCCATCAGGGGCTGCCCCAAAGAAGAGGGAGTCAAGCTGTAATCCAAAGCACCAGAGGGCAGGACAAGAAGC